CCCAAGCACAGTATCTATACATTACTCACCGAGCGTACAGACGGAGACCGCATCATCACAACACCCAACACGATCACCCAAATGTTTAGCACCATATAACTACAATGAATCTCATCTATATATCAAGACACCACCAAATACTAGAGCATATCACACAGTACTAGCGACAAAGCAACCCACACTCCATCTCTGACCCGCATCTGCATCGCGACACTACCGTACTCAGACTAATATCTTCACACGACTGAACTGAACATCGCCTCCAACTTCTACACTCTATGTGCGACCTATACTGTCCTGAGCAACATATCATCTAACAGCATCGCCACTGCCTCATACACAACACAAGAAGTAGAGAGACTCAATCCCTCACACTGCCTACTCAAAGCTCCCGTCGCCAAACACACGCATACTCCTCCTCCATCCAACAGCTTACACTCTTATCCCCGTCGCCACACAAATATCTCGAACATCCCACAAATCACACACACTCCAACCTACTCCCACCTTACATATCTACGAACCACTCTGTATCAGACGCTACCATCCCCCACACCTGACACCACTGCAACTTCTCACATCCAAATTCACCAGAATGAGTGTTCCCACCGCGGGCTTTCCTCAACACATAGTGACACAAACCTGATGCCTAAACAATTACATCGCGGAATACAGAAAATGCGCAGCGACGCATCAGAGTACTCACATACCGAGATACAGCCACAGCAGACTACCACCCATTATAATAAAACATTAATGTTGTAAATAATAATATATTATACTATATATATATATGTATATGTATATCTATCAATGTATTACATATATATATATATACAAGTACTAGAGTTATATATACATTATATATTAACAATATTAGTACTATAAATATAATCAATACAGACAACCATCTATCTGCCTCCATCTCCACACTCCCGGATTCCAACCGTATACGAACCGGTCACGACACATGAGCTACTGTTATCTGTTACAATACATCCCTACACTCAGTCTGCATCAAGAGTCTGCTGACGCACTCAATCACCCATTAATCACGACAAACCCTTCGTTCATCCCACCACAGCACTACACCAACCCTACATTCGTCTCTCTCTATCATCATATATCCCACTAAGACCACACTACCCTACAACACACCCCACTATCCCAACACTACACACTACTATCCAATCACTATGTGGCGACTCCACCCCCAGTCAACAGCAACACTAACCCCACCAATTAAAAATAGATCGACGCTCACAGATCTCCGCTCCCATCAACCACCATGACATCGGTCAGCCATAACAACACCCCCTCCTAATACTAGCACAAACAACACTCTATTCACAGCATATAATATATTATATAGTATGTAAGGGTATGATGTATGTGATCGAAGCCGTATCACACCACTCCTGCCTTATATATATACTATATGTGTGTCGTTACCTGTATACTATATATATATATAGTATATTAACATATATGTGTTGTGTGTGTTCATGTGTGTATGTTGTGTTGTGTGTGTCTGTTGTGTGTGTTGTGTGTGTGTGTGGGTGTGTGTGTGTGTGTGGTGTGTGTGTGTGTGTGTGTGTTTGTGTATATATATATATATATATATAATATATATATATATATATATATATATATATATATATTATACACACACACCACATGCATACACATACACATACACCCACCACAATATACGTTAATATACATATATATAATATATATATAATATTATATATATATATATATATACACATATTAACGTATATGTGTATACATATGAATATATATGTATATGCGTGTGTGTGATTCTGTTACTGTCAAAAATGCCATTAAGATGGAACAGCGATAATGTGTCCGATACTTCATTAATATCGTTTCTCGCCATCAAAAGAAAACATTTCTTTGTCATCATGGCTCGTAATTTCCATTATTAAAGACGATTTGCTGTTCAATATCCACATTAAGTCGCAATAAGTTAGTTCTTCCTAGACAATTGGTGATTATAACCTTTCCATTTCTAAAAGAGGAATGTTTAAATGAGTAAAAATCTAAAATCGACTTTATATATACATAGCAAAGAGTATACGAAGCCGTTCACGCATGCTATTAGCACAATACATACATAATCAGGCCCTTATTTGCTCCAGGCAGGTGGTTGCCGTCTCTTTTTCCTTCGTATCTTTCGGAAAGAATTCTTTAAAAACATTGCTGATTAAACAAATTTCTAGCTCTTTTTTTATTTATTTACATTTGCTTATTTGTCAAAGTTATTGTTATTATCTTTATTACTATTCGTACTTTTATGATTGTTATGATTATTAGTAGTATGATTATCATCATTATTGTTATATTCATCATCAGTATCGTTATCATCCTTATTAATATTATTATCATTACCATTATCACTATCATTATCATTACCATTATCACTATCACTACCATCATTATTCTCAATATCATTATCACCATCATTACCCTGTGTTACATCATCATCATCATCATAAATGTTTCACCCACTCATTAACTTTTCTGGGCTCGAAAAACACGTATAAACATGTAAGCTGTTAAGGGCTATCGTTAATGAAGCATGTAAATAGGATCGTGTACCCTTTGACCTTCGAGGGTTTAAAGACACACGTGATAATCAGGTCAGGGGCTGCGTTGGGTCTTGGCATATTGACATCGGGGTTGTAGTACCGTGTAGATGAGCGGTTTCTGTGCTGAACTTGATGTGAGGTTCAGTTTTTTTCTCTTTTCTTCACTTCTCTCTCTTTCTCTTTCTCTTCTCTGTTCTGTCTCTTCTCTGTCTCTGTCTCTGTCTTCTCTGTCTGTCTCTCTGTCTCTGTCTCTGTCTCTGTCTCTGTCTCTGTCTCTCTCTGTCTCTGTCTGTCTCTGTCTCTCTCTCTCTCTCTCTCTCTCTCTCTCTCTCTCTCTATCCATCTGTTTATCTATATATTTGCCTCTATCCATCAGTCTCTGTCTTCTCTTCCCTCTCTCTCTCTCCGTCCCTCTCTTCCTGTTAATTCTCTCCTCTCTCTCTCTCTCTCTCTCTCTCTCTCTCTCCTCTCTCTCTCTCTCTCTCTCTCTCTCTCTCTCTCTCTCTCTCTCTCTCTCTCTCTCTCATATAGATATATAGATATGCATATATGTCTGTGTGTTATTCTTTATGTATGTATAAATGTCTATCTACTGATCGATTTATCTAGCTACCTATCTATCTATATTTCTCTCTGTCTTGTTCTTGTTTCACACACGTCCAGCAAATTTGTCCCAGCACTTTTTTTTTGTCTATATTCCAGTTTGAAAAATAGAATATCACCTTAAACATTTGCTGTAATTCCGACATGATATGAAATGTAAAGAGAAAATAGTGAGAATAGCTTAAATATGGAAGAGCATGTAATTAAAAGAGGATAATAATGATGATAATCACCATAATAATAACAATAATGATGTCATAAATACGATAATAATGAAACAAATGCTATTAGTAGTAGAAATATGTCTTATATTGCTAGTACTGATAATGATGAAAACAAAGAATTCTTTGCCCTTGTGGATATTTTACAGATCTTTTCAGAGTAATTCTTCGATTATTCTGAATTGAAAAAATATCAAACGGCTATCTGCCTCTTGCTCGGCATATGCTCAATAGACGAATCAACCAGCATTCCCCTTTGTCTCGTCATAGTAACTAGCATTTCTGAAGCTGGATTAATCTGAGAAACAAAGGAAACAAAAATAAAAAGTAATAAGCTTATTTTCTGAGTTCTCTAAGCCACTTGTTGGTTTAGGAGAACATAAGCTACCAAAAAAAAACTGTATAAATGTTAAGACGCTTTTAATATTACCTTTCGACATACATGCGTTTAACATAATTGAATTACAGGTAGATGCCATCCAGGGAATGTTATTTTTCTTTTATTTATTTATTTTCTTTTTTGGTTTCGCTTAAATTGCATGGGGCTCTTATCTACTATATTTAGTATCATGGCTGTACTACTTCGGTTAATTCAACCGCTAAGTTTTAAAGCCAGTGAAACACGGTGCCGGTACCAAGCTTTATAAGATATATGGCGAGGGTTGGCAACAGGGAGGGTATGCGGCTGTATAAAAATACCTAAATCTTATTCTGGATAAGTCTTTAATAATGGGAATATTATAGAATTACAATGGATTACACTTTAGTCACCCCTTCCTTTAACAAACAAGGAATAGCATGTGCAAAAAAGTACATATATACAAACATAATATAAAATAAATAACTTGCAAACAAACATTGAACAGAAGATAAAGGTCACAAGAACAGCAGTTCCACATAACCCCGAGAATACTGCTGGCCAGGAAGAACACAATAACAAGATATTGTTCTTGTTCTCCAATCTCGGTAGTTCACGCTAATGGCTGTTATGTGTTAGCCTTCCTCGTGTTTATGGGATAATGTGAGAATTCATTGTTATGGTAAATAGTTCTGTGTCTCTATCATTTACAAAATAATAGTCATGACTTAATTTATGCCTTTTCTGTTCTTCTTTTTTCACTTTCCTTGGTGTTTTATCAATTCACTTTCACTTCTTTCCTTTCTTCTACATGGCATAGCTTTCATTAATGTGTATTTCCTAATTCGTTTTCTTTCTGTTTGTTATTAATACTAATCAGGCCATGGTTGATAATTAGATCTATTATCAAGTGAAAGTGTTTGGATATTGTATGGATTAAAGTGAAAAATTGTATTAGTAACATGCAAAGAAATATACATATATAACTGTACTGACAATATTATTTCCGTAGCTATATTTTAGTGGCATCAACAGTAGGTATTATATAACGTACGAAAAATTGATTTACCCTACACGTGCTTGTCCCTTTCATTTAGACAATCATTACTTAATTAAAGTCATACTACTTCATTTACTGAAATAAATAAAAAAAAAAAAAAAACGGAAATATCAATTGAGACGAGAGAGGGGGGGGTTGGGGGT